CTTCCTTTTATTCTTCTTTTTCTTTCTATTGAAAATAAAAATGTTTTCCTTCATTTATACAATGATTATCTTTATCTTTTACAATTAACATATCATCCATTTTATTTATTTTTCTATCTTTGATATTAATTATGTTATATTCTTTATTCTTTGACTATATGTGTATTCTGTTTCAATCGTCATATTTAAATCAAGTATTATATTCAATACTTTTCTATTTGTCCATTCTATTAGTTGTTTGGTTTCTTCTATTGTACAGATTCCTCCTATCTTTTTTTAAATTTTCTCGTTTCCTTCTTCTTTTTCTCTTCTTCCTCTCTAAATGATCATTATCGTGTTCCTACTTCGTTCTCTTATTAAATCTTTTTTAACTTAATTTCTTCTTCTAGTACTTTAAATTTATCTTCTTTATTCATTTCTTCAATTAAAATGATTGTATTGATTAATTCATTCCATGTTTTACTTAGTATTTCTTCATCGGAATTACTTTCTTCTATTATTTCTATTGTTTTAATTGTTTCTTGACTTTTTTCTATTATAATTTTCTTCTTTTTGTTTCATTCTATCAATTATTTTCCTCTTTTAATAGCTTCTGAATATATTTCATTATCTTGTATTTCAAATATTTTATTTTTAATACATCCTAAATAATAATGATAATGTTTATGAATATCATCAATTGATTGTTGAATATTTGGAAGTGTTTCTATTTCTTCTTTAAAGAATTGAGTGTTCTTGTTTATTAACTCTTCCATTTTAATTTAATTTAATGAATAAAAAACTAAATTAAAATTCATAAATAATTAAATACACATTTATAACACTTCATTTTATTTATTATTTGATCATTCTTTATTTTATTCACATGAGTTAGTGAATGCAGGGGCATTAAATTAATAAAAGAATTTAAAAATAAAAATAACAAATTGAAGAAGTCAAAAATGTTGTAATTAAAAAAATGAAGGATGTTATACAACAATGTTATATCAAACTAAACACACTCTGTAGAACTACTAGACAATATAAAAAGGTTGAGGTTAGTTTTATCAGACAATAAACAGTAGAGTATAAAACTCTATTAATGTTTAATCGATTAACTCTACTTTTTATTTTCATTTACTTGTTTATTATTGATTTACTTAAAGAATAACAAAAATTAATATTCAACAAATAACAATTAAAAGAAGTTAATCTGTTTTTTCTTCTTTTGTTTCTTGTTTGGTTTGTATATTGTCATCTGATGATATACTTTCTACAATGATTTCATCATCAACTTTTTCCTCATTATCATCGTCAACAAGGTCGTCTGCAACTGGACCAATCAATAAAGCAACAATATCGTCTTTGTGTTCTTCAGCAGCTAATTCAATAGCAGTTTTATTTTGGGCATTGAGAATTGTTTTATCAGCACCTGCATCTAACATCATCTGAACTATTTGAATATCCCCACGAACAGCCCAATGTAAAGCAGTGCTTCCTGACTCATTTTTATCATTAACAATTCCCTTAATTTCATCAAAAGACAAAAGAAACGAAGTCATTTCTACGTTGTTATTTCCACATGAATAATGTAATGCAGAATTCCCATATTCATTTTTTACTGTTAATATATCATGGTCTTGTTCAATAAATGATTTAACAATCTCCATTTCTCCATACCGTACTTCTTCAAGAAACACATTCACAGACTCAACATCAAATCCGTTGGTTTGCATATTCTTCTTTCAGTTTCTATCTTCTTTTTTTTTTTTAGGGTTTAATATTTATGTTTTATATAACAAAAAATAGTTAAAAAAATTGAGTTTTGAACTTTTCATTCTTTATTCATGAGTCAGAATGATATTTCAGCAGTTATGTGGGATATTTTTGTTATTTCAGCAATGTCGCTATCACTTATATCCTTTGTATTTAGTTTATTTTCTCATTGGATCAACAAACGAATAAACGTTCAACGCAAAGAGAAGTTTTATAACCTGGCACAACAGTTGTCAGTTGGTTATTAATCAACCACATTCGTTTTGCTTTTAGAGTTTTTTTTGAAACTAACCAGGCATAATTTAAAATAAAAATAATTAGCAAATAATTCATATTATAGATTTCTTTGGATAAAATTACAAGACAACTATTTTAACAAAGAAAGTAGTCTTGGTTAAGTCATTGTAGTAAAGGGCTATTGAAGGTAGTATAGTTATAGTGTTATAATACTATTATAATCCGTTTATAATTTATATTTTTTCAAAATGCTAGTTAATTTTTGTATTTTAAAGATTGTTGAATTTATTGAATTATTCATTATTTTATATATTATTTTCATTTTACAATATATCATATTTGCTCCAATCTAATAATGAATAAAATGATATTATTATCATTATTACTTAATGACATTCATCCAATAAATTGACATGAAATAATATTTTAATCATTTTACCAGTTACAATACTACTTCAATTCATTGTTATTATTTTTATTCATTTTCTCTTTAATTTATTCTCTCTTTACATATCCTTATATTTAATTTTATAATTAATGTCTCGAATTAATTTAACCAAATGGATGAACAAATAAAAAGTAGTTAATTAAGTGTTGTTAGATTTATTTTATTTTGTTCTTTACTCACCACTGACTAATCTCATCCCTGTATTTTAGGAATGTTTGTTCGTACACTATTCACTTATTATTTATATTTTCATCATATTAAGAAGTGTAAATTTCTATTCTTTATTCTTTTATTTAGTTTGAATTAATAAATACCTTTTCAAAGTTCCTCAATTTAATTATTCATCATTTAATTAATATCTCATCTTTATTTTAATTTTAGTGTTTATTAAAACTCTTCACTCTTTATTTTCTTATTTTATATTGATTATATCATTACTATTATATTATTATGAGTAATTTCATTTAACATCAATAACAATAAATAGACTATTTTTCTTTGATAATACAATATATTTAATTCTATCTATTCATTACCAAATATACTTGTATTATAACAAACAAGTAATAATACTATCATTTTCTAAATCTTACTCTTCTACTATACTAAATGATATTCAATCATCATAAATATTAATCACTGATATTCTTGTAATATTGATTAAGACTTTTCCTAACTAACTGCAATGTTTAGTTAGATGATAACTAATGATTCAATACCGATTCATTTTAATGCTTGTGTAGGTATCTATGTACTAAATTCAAACTAATATACTTTTAGAATAAATAATAAAAAAGATAAAAAGAGAAATACAATAATAAGTAATAATAAAATACTTTAATAAATGTATTTTTGTTACAGGAATTTTTATCAAACTAAAAACTCGTTATTACATGTTAATTTCAAAACAAACCTCTCAAGAATCATAAACTTGAACCAAAAACAAATCCTTCAAACGGAGACATTAGGTTATCTGATACTAATACTACACAAGTGCTAAAGCCGCTAATGACTGCCACACTACCCCTTTACTATCAATAAACCAGGATACTGTACCACAAATGTTGACTACTTCTCACTCTAAAATTCACAACTGCCTAAACCTAAAACAATCAAAAAAGATAATAACTTGAAAGTCAAAGGTGAGTGTTATATAGAAAAACAATCACAAATATTTTTGTGTAATCTTTTTGTCCTTTTTGGATGTAAAATTAATTTGAAAAGAACAAGAAAAGCTCTACTATGACAAGATTTTAATTAAACAGGTTATCTACAATGATTGTCTTATTTTTGATATGAACAATTAAAACATATGGTTGGAAAAGATTTATCACGTCAAGGAATGGTTAATGCAATGATCTGTGAATTATCCCTTTTACTAGAACATCAGTTTAGGACTCAATTTACCAACAAAACAAGAAAAAAGTCTTGTCAACCATTTGTAACTGTTGAGTCTTATTCATTCAGTGGTACTACCTTAAAGGCTGGGAGATAAGAGGTGCTCTACAATGAGCTAGAAAACCGAATTTAATTAATACTCTTTAACAAGAAGTTCTAATTATTAGTGTATCATTTTCATTTTATAAAACAAAGTGATAATAACAAAAATCCAATCATCTCAAAAAAAAAAATAAGTTGATTACAACAAAAGATTTTTTATTTAGTTTTTTTTTTGGAGACAATTCAAATTGAAAATAATATTCAAAACTTATTTTATAGGAACTTAAAAATCAGTAATGTGGGGAATTTTTTGTTTTATTACTATTGCATTTGCCATTGACGGAAGTAGTTATTCTCAGTGTTCTTCACCATACCAAATTCTCAAATATCCATTGAGTGAAGAATTTACATTTGACCCCAATTCAAAGAATCCTGGAATATGTGGAGAAGATTCTGAAGATGTTAGTTCTATTTGGGTAGAATTAAAGAATGATGGAGAAACAGTCAATACATATACAATTGACGTAAATAGTTCTATTGCAGTTCATAATACTTGTGACAGTGAATGTATTGATGCTCTTTCAGAACATTCTACTTTAACAGTAGCAGCAAAATCAAGTCTTTTCTTAGTTCTTAAAGGAAGTGGAGTTGTGTCTATTTCTATTTCAGAAAATAAAATATCTTCTTCTGAAAATCCTGTCTCAGTTACAGTATTTCCATATGAAGAAGTTTTTACAACAGCAAAAGTCTCTTCGACATGTTCTGGATTAACTGAAGGTGTTTTCCTTGAATTTCCTGATATGGCTAAAGTACCTGTAACACTTAGTACCTGTGGATCAACTGCAGCTGTACAAGTTATTCTTCATAAAAAAGATTCATGTGAAGTTCCTGAACAATCTATCTGTGAAAATGGAAATGGTATTATTGCTACATTTATTGGAGAGCCAATGACAATTGAATTATTAGGTGGAAATGAAGGAGATTTTAATGAAGGAAGTGTTTCTGTTCAATTAAAATATGACACAGCACCAGAATGTGAAAATGCTACAGAATTTAATGTAGATGAAAAAGGAGGAGTTCTTATGAGAACAGTATATAGTGGTATTCCAAAAAGTGATGATAGATGTAGTAAAGAATTATATTCATATGATATTGTTCATATCAATGGTGTTGAAAAAACTGAAATTACTTTTACTGTTAGTAAAGATGTTAAATATGAAATTCATATCTTTGAAAATTGTGAAATGAAAGAATGTATTGAGTCTATAAGTAAAAATGAAAATACAACAACATTTAATTTAGATTTAACTGAAAAAAGTTATTATATTAAAGTTGGTATTAACGCTAATGAAAATGTTGATTATACACTTCATATTAAAGGAGATGATAAAGAAAATGGACTTTCAACTGGAATGAAAGTGTTTATTGGTATTTTCATTGTTGTTGCTGTTATTACTATTATTGCTGGTATTATAGCAATTATTTTTGCTGTTGTGAAAACAAAAAAGAGTGGATACAGTAATATTTAATTGACTAATTAAAAAAAAATATAAATCAGGTTTTTTTTATTTATTATGAAAATTCTTATTACTTATAAAAGAAATTAATAGAAAAATTATTTATTAATTTCTTTAATTTGAATATTTTACTTTTAACTGATAGAATTATCTTTTAATTATCTTATTTTCTTTAAGTTTAATTTCTTTTAACACTCACTAAAACTCTTCTTTTCTTTATTATCTTTTATCAAAATTACATACCTTTTGTCTTTTTGATTATTTACTTTTTTAATCTTTTTTCTCTTGAGGATCTGATTGGTTCAATATTTTTCTTAATTTCTTCTTTTGTACCTTTTTTTAATTTTGTTTTAATCTTTTTTGTTAGTTGTTTGAATAATTTTTGACTACTTATTGTTCCT